GCAAGTGTCCTCCAGCAGGGGCCTTAAATATCTCCAGAGAAGGAGACCCCACAACCTCCCTGGGCTGCCTGTCCCAGTGCTCCATCACCCTTACCATGAACAAGTTCTTTTGCATGTTGGTGCAGAACTTCTTGTGCTCCATTTTGTGGCCACTGCCCCTTGTCCTGTCCCTGCAAACCACTGAAAAGAGGTTGGCCAAATCCCTCTGTCTCCCACACTTAAGATATTTGTAAACATTGATAAAACCCTCTCTCAATCTTTTCTTCTCAAGGCTGAGCAGACCCAGGTCTCTCAGCCTTTCTTCACAGGGGAGATGCTCCAGGCCCCGTATCATCTTTGTGGCCCTCCGCTGGACTCTTTCCAGGAGATCCCTGTCTTTTTTTGTACTGAAAAGCCCAGAACTGGACACAGTACTCCAGATGGGGCCTGACCAGGGCAGAGTAGAGGGGAGGATCACCTCCCTTGACCTGCTGGCCATGCTCCTTTTAATGCACTCCAGGATCCCATTGGCCTTCTTGGCCACCAAGCCACACTGCTGGCTCATGGTCAACCTGTCATACACCAGGACCCCCAGGTCCTTCTCCTCAGAGCTCCTCTCCAGCAGGTCATCTCCCCGTCTGTACTGAGACATGTGGTTGTTCCCTCCCAGGTGCAGGACTCTACACTTGCTCTTGTTAAACCTCATTTGGTTTCTTCCTGCCCAGCTCTCCAGTCTGTCCAGGTCTCGCTGAATGGCAGCACAGCCTTCTGTGATGATGATGGTGGCATCTCTGAAGGATGTATGGTCACTTCTACTGGAGACTCAGAGGTAGGATTTCACTTTAAATGACAGAATTTAAAGTAAATGCAACTTATTTAAAGATGGTTTTAAAAATGTCTTTACCTATAGAGGCTTAATAATAAGAGCTTTAAGTTTTGGTTTTAGTTTACGTTCTGCCTAAAAAGCATACTTAAAACAGACACATTTCATTCAGAGATTTATTTATTTTTTTTGAATAAACTACATTAAAATAAGAGGATCTTTATAACCCATATTCAAAAAAGTAAAATGGCTTCATTTATTCAGTAGTAACAATGAAAACCCTTGTTTCAAGAAAAGGATCCAGAGCAGGATTTTTCTTACTTTCTTCCACAGTACTGCTGAGCATGTGTAATTTCAGAAATAACAGTCCTTTGTTAATTTTAAATCCTGCTTTGTCACGTTCGAGATGCTTTCTGTTACTCCTACAAACGTGAAGGGCAAACTGCACTCACTGTTTTCACTGGAGTTTCCGTTCACTCATTCCGCTTCACTAGAGGCGTAGTAATTCCTCCACGACAGGAACAGTATTACTGTCTCCCATAGTTATGGCCCCACACTTATTCCATCAGTATATTTGAAACTGCTATAGGGCAAGTGGTACCCATCGTAAGTACAGTCCTTAGCGTTTTATTGCTGTTGTTGTGATTTTATATTAGCTGTAGGTCTCCACTGATACTTGCTAGCAAAGGTTATACAGTTTTTTTCCACATGGGTGAAAAGTGCTCTAATGCAATTGGCTATTGACCTGTTGTGAAAATACCAGAAGAAGAAAAGAGATAATAAAAGTAAACCCCAACATGTATTTTAATTACATGGTTGAAGCACGCTTTATTTTTCCAGAACTTTGGTGATAGTTTTGTCCCCAGGGTTTTTGTTTGCCTTTTTTCTTTTTCCTTAGAAGTGTAGCAGTATAAGGATGGAACTAGGCAGAATCACACAAGCTGTACTCAGGGAGAGCAAACATAAGACTGGAGAATGAAGCTTCAAAAGCAGGACCTCCCGTAACAAAATTCTAGGAAGGAGGAAGGAGGCTTCTTCCCTCTCTCTAATAAGACTCTTCCACATTCAATCAGCTCTGTAATTGGAAAACCAAAAGCTAAACACAGATAAACTGAGACCCAAAACTGTGCTATCGCTATAATACTGACTGTAATGGAAACCTTAAGTACACTCTATTTACATATAATAACAAGCTCTATGTAAGAAGACAGATAGAAATATTAAAATCCATACTGTTGCTTCAGAGGACAGAAGTTGTCCCATATACTAGACTGAAAAAAGATTAAGGGAATCCCAAATTCTTTCAGAATTCATTTGTTAGCCACAAACTTATGGTTCTGATCAGCCCAGTCCTCTTCCTTTTTCTCCTAAGCAGAGATCAGTCTCAAAGGAAGACTGCCACTATGTTCAGATACAGAGATGGGGTCAATAAATAATCTTCCCAGTATGAAATGTTGCTTTGTGAGGGTTTTTAATTTCTATCAAGTTAGTAAGAAAACACAATTATTTTTAACTTCAAATATCTCCAGTTTCCCCTGTACACATACTGAAACCTCTTAAGAAAGTTCAGGATTTAATCTACATTTCTGGAACTATTCTCATCACTTGAACTTCTTAGCTTGAAAGGAATTGATTGAAGTAGGAAAGTGAATAAACTTTAAATGTTAATGTGAACATTAATTACAAAAAGTCATGGGACAGAATCAATCTCTGCTGAACCTGAATCTTTATTCTCAAAGGAATTATCAAGTTTTGCCAAACCCAGTAACTTACATCAATTTACTTTAATGCTAAATACAAGCAGTATTTTGAAATTAATTCTGATTATTTTCCTGTAAAAAAAAAAAAAAAAGTTAACTGCAGATTATCATTATAGCTACAGAAGTAACAGGTTTAATTGGGAATCTACTAGGAAACTCTTAATGAATGATTCAAAAACTTGTAATATTGTCACTTCCAGTTCAGTAGCAAAGATGTTAGCATTTAAATGATTTAACAACTTAATGAATGACATTTGTTTTTATGGTTATTCTGGGAAGTGTAGCCTGCTTCAGAGTTCCTGGGTTTACTCTCTTGGCTGAATAACAAAGACATAAAATTCTTCAAATTATACTGTATCAGTAAAAGAGTAATTTTTTAAATGCTTACAACTTTCAATAAAATTAGCCACCTTGTTTTACGGTATGTCTGCCTAAAAAGCTTAGCTTCACAGGTGTTTATATCTATGAAATAAGTATTTTGAAGCAAGTCTAACTCTACAGACTCTAGTCAGCTGGAAAGTCAGCATATCAGCCTGATTGATATTTAATTTCATTTAATATTTTTGTTTGTTCTACACCCTTTCCATAATTTTTGAATACTTTAAAACTAACAAAAAAGGCCATGTAGTATGTAAGGGAAAAACAATGACCCAACACAAACGATACTAGACTATTAGTAATTTCCTTTTTAAATCACACGTCAAGTCTACGAAATCCTATTTAATTGTAAGTTTTCAATGTTATTTTAACTAAAAACATTTTAAGAACTACTTGAAATGCTAGAAATTTTAAACTCTCCTATGTAAAGTATTTCAAGTGCAATTATTATTATTATTTTCTTATTTTAAAATATGCAGTCTCCTAAATTATTCCAGGTTTGTTCTACAGAGAGATTAGTAGTCAAACTATTAAATTTCTCAAACAACTGAAGAGCCTTAAGAAACAGATGGATGACCTTGACACCACTGATGACTAAAAAGACTAACTTCACTGACAGCAAAGAAATCCACCACAAAAACCATTTCCTTCCAAACAAGAAATTTTCCAGCCTCCATATCACCAACTGGAATAGTCATAAGATAATAGCATTAGTCAAACTTAGTTCAAGCAGCTTTTTTGAAATACAGTCACACCATATGTAAAAGTGAAATTACTGTGGGAATGCACCTCAAGTGCAAATATAGTATGGTACTACATTGCAAAATGTTACCTACTCTGTGTTTAAATAATTCAAAGTATTACAGATTCTCTAACGCTAATATAAGTGTGTCTGGTAAAAAAGAACACATAGATTAGAATAAAATTTTCTCTTAGGGAGTTAATTCTTGATTTATTGTTAAGAATTTGTGTACCTAAATGAACTTCATCTACAGCTTCTGTTGAATTACTGAAAGATTCTTCTGAATTTTGCAATGTTAACGGCACTGTTACATATAGCATTTTTGTTACATCTGTTGCATTCTACTGAATAGTTATTTCATAATTAACATGGAAAACAATTTATTTAACTTAAGTGCAGTCTGAGTTACTTAAACTGAATTTATTCCTATAGTGACAGATTTTTTCCAATTCCAGATATTTTCATATGTTTTTCTACTTGGATCACACAAAACTTAATACTAAGCTTGGCATATTGTACTTCATCTTATGTACAGAAGATATCACATTTAATATTTCCAAAAATTAAAAAGGGAGATATGTCCATACGGCATTTTTCCTGGTCTTTGAAACCCAAGTGCGATCATCTTTCATTTACTAACTTCATCTGAGAGAACAAACTACTATGAAGAAGCTCAAGGCTAACAAATCTTTCCTCACACCAAACTGGCCAAGAGCTCAAGCTGCTTTTGTACAACTGCCATCATCCAAACAATTTATCAGAATAATCTCATTTACGAAAGCCAGTGTTTAAAAACATATTTTTAAAGTGATATTATCACATTTTGATGTCAAGTTGGCAGCTTTAGGTAACTTAATTACATATGCAGGTAAAAGGATCTCTCTAAAGCTTTTAACACTTCCAGTGATTAAGTTTTGATAAAACAGATTCACACACTTATCAATACATCTCTGCTCTAAGAAATATCTGTCTGAAAATGATAGCTGGAAATAGGAATTCCACCAAACAGGTAACAGAAACAGGAGTTCTTCTATTAATCCACTCAGACTACAGCAAGTCAATGAATTCCAAATACGACTAGTATCTTGTTACTGGACAAAGCGGATAACAATTACATAAAATTCATCCTCTTCTTGGAGTTTAAAAAAAAAAAAGTGGATCAGAATGCAAAATTCCAAATGACTAAAATCTCATGCTCCTTGATATATGTATACGTATTTTTTTTTACAAGATGATCAATGCTATTTGTTTTCAATGGCAATTCATAACAGCAGCAAAATTCATTACCAAACATAGGAATTAGTAATTTATACATTACCTAATGCTGCTCATGCTTCCAGTTTCTGATCCAAGCTTACATCTCTCCAGTTGGCTAGCTACAATCTGACGTTCAGCTTCAAGTTCTCGAGTCAGTCTCTCAAATTGCAGTTCCTGGAAAAAAATAAATGAAACCATTCATTTTAACTTCTCTCAAGATTAATAAGGTATCTCAGCACATAACAATAATCATGAAAAAAAAAAAAAGAGAAAAAAAAAGCTAGTATAGTATCTTACAGGAAAACCTTTTTTGTTTTAACACATTCACAATTCAAGTTTTTGAGGTAACACCTACTCATTCCTTCATTCACTTTAATGATACGTGTCATAGAATCAATAGTTTATCAGGAATGGAATTTAAACAATTCAAGCCATATTAAAGTCATTCACAGTCTACGTAGATCTCTTACTAGAATAAAAATGTCTTTCAAAAGGAGATCTAACTATATTATCATAAGAAAATTTCTATTAGTTAAAAAAAAAAAGATGTAAAATTCTGCGGATGATCATATGGCAATTAAAGCTTTCCTAAATGAAAAAAATCAGTCATCATAGTACATGCTACTGAAATAAATTATACTGAAGGTATATTGTTATGTACTGAACATGGTTTAATTTCAGCATTTAATGATGTGCAGAAGGGAAACACAAAGTTTTGGACAAAAGCCGTATTAAAAATCCTGTCACTAAATGAATGTATTTTATTTTACTCTGTCATGGAAGCCAGATTAGCCCAACCAGGCAAGATTTATCCACAGACCTCATAAATATATTTCTAAAAAATTTAAATTTTTATACACAAGAGACTATTTTCTTAAATAAATAAATAAATTCATAAATAAAACAAGAAAAAATAAAATCCTCGCTATTCCCTAAAGAGCTGTATTTCCCACATATGGTATCAGAACTTTTATCAAATACAAAATAGAAACACTTTTAGGGAATTATGTTTATTTTAATTTTGCCAGACTTTGCTGCCCTTTTATTCTGGTCATAGTTACATAAAACTCATACATAAAAGGAAGAAGTTCTCTGGCCTCTCTGTGCATTTGTTGAGGGCTGAAGGAGATGTATTTTCTGAATCCACTTGTTAAACTACTCTTGTGTCCACACAAATGCATTCATTCTCTCTTTTCTCAGCCTTTTCTTTCAAAAGAGACATTTCCACGCTGCAGAGGTATGGAAGAGGGTGCACAGAATATGGTCTGGGCTCAGCTCTTAGACCCAACTACGTGCCTCTGAGGAACTTGGCACGTGGGAGAAAGGAAGAAATGGCAGGTGCAGAAGAAAGGATCCAAAAAGTCGTTGTCCTCTCTGCTACATAAAATCTTTGACCAAGAACCCAGTAGTATATGGAGGCATAAAATTGTAAGTAGGGAAACAGTAGCTGAAATGGAAGAAGAGAAGGGCTGGTGGCTGTTCTGTCTGACTTAGCTGGGCCACCCCCCTTTGTTTCTATTGTTACTGGCACGGAATGATTTCTCTCCTGCGCTAAACGTAAGGGGGAACCACCACACAGATTATGTACAGCAAGAAAAAGTTGGTGTACACTGAAGCGGCCACTAACTTTTTAATTTGACAGAGCTTACTTAATTCTGCATTCATTACTCCAAGCAAGACTACCAAGGGTACACCACCATCAAAAGAGTCAGATTGATATAAAGAGCAACCAAGACCTAACACTCCTCACTGAATGTTAATACTGCATGAGGAATCGTTGTTAATATTCTCTGCATGTGCTTTTGTTGTACTCCAAAATGTCTCTTTCTTTGTTTATAGATAACACTACTAAAAATCACCTAACAGAAATCATCTGGCTTAGATACGCCTACTTCACACAGAGCATTTGCTTGCTCACCTAATAAAATCACTTGTCTGAAAAGAGACTGTAGATCAACTTTCCAAGAGTTGTTATTCAAATTCTGGCCTTGTTTGGGTAAAATAATACACTTACTGCAGAAAGAATTGTAACAGAAATGTTATTGAAGTTTTGAAGAACATAAAATGAAAGTGCTATAGAATTTGCTACACGAGCATGCTTATACCTAAGCACATAAGCACTGCGAATTTTTGATAGCATGAAATAAAACAAAACCAAACATAACATAGTTTACTTTCAAAACAAAAGCTGTAACAGCTGTTCTATTCCACAGCCTTTTAAAATTACTTTATTCTATGATGGCAATGCTACCAATGCAGACTTTGAAGCTTAGCTTAATGGCTTCAGCCATCCACCTTCACTTCCTGTCCCAGCTGAGGTAGGCCAGACACGTTCTTGAACATGGCCTAAGAAAAGGCACTTTTTTTTTTCACCTGTATCACCTTTTCCTTTTCTGCTATCTGCATGGTATATCTTTTCATATATTTTATGTGCTACGTATGCTTCAGTTAATCACTCCACTGACTACTTTCCAGACATTTCTGTATCTTCCTAAAACCTTTATGCTGCAAGAAAAAAAATGTTCTGAAGACAAATTATTCATGAATCTGTTCTTCAAAATACACCTTTCTGTATTTGATGACCATCACTTATCTTTCTTTTCTACTCCTTTCTCTTCTCTTCAGCATTCCCTCTCTCATTTCCTAGCACACTTCATGACTCACCCTCCACTAATCTCCTTCAGTCCTACTATACGAATTCCTATTTTAGCAAATTCCCTAAAATTACAGGTTTCAGTAGGCTTTCTCTCTAGACTGTTAATCCCTTACTGAGGGAACACTTCTCTTCTTGAGATGTATAAACCCATGTTTTCTGCTTTCACTGTCCACAATATTTAAGTCCTGCCCTGCAGAGATGAATGGAAAAGGACAGTTGTGCGTACAACCCTTCTTAAACAGGAAGCAGAGATCACTTATGGAAACAGGATCACTTATGGAAAAAAATAACCTTGGGTTTCTAGAGCATGAAAGTGGCTGGAACAGGTAATCAGTAATTTCCTAACTAGCTTGCTTCAGTGTCTGCCATTTCTCACTTCATCGTCTTCTATCAGGTGACATCAGAAGTTACCAAGAGAAGGAAGGAGACAACGGTGGGGGGACTGAGAACGTGTGAGGGGGCAGACCCACACAACTATCCCCATTCCTTATTTTCAACATTCAGTATAACAAAAAACTGTGTTAAGTATTCCCTCATGTGATGTCCAACATGCAGGTCCACAGCATTGCCTCAGGAGCGAAAGAAGAAAAGGACTCAAATAAGAGTAGGGAGAATCTGCTATTCCTTTTCATCAAGAATCTGTCAGAAAAAAATTAATAAGCTTCCTCCTCTTTGTATGAGAAGCAGCTAGAGTGACTAATATTTGAATAAATCCATATGTCTAGATTTCAAGCAGCTGTCACAGTGCAAGAAGACAGAAACTAGAAACAGTATTTGCTTACATTTTATAAAAATAACCACTGAACCTGACTCCATCATTTGTCTTGCTTGTTCTGTTTACAGTCATTTTCGCCAGTTCATGCCATGTTGTGTTATCATCACAACCTTCTATTATTCATCACAACCAAGCTAATCTGAACGTCAAATTTAAAAACAAATTCCTAGCTGCTGATCATGCAAATCTGTTGTCAAGACAATCGCAGAATGAAGAACTGCGGGACCTACAACGCAACATCAAAACTGATCTAAGTAAGGCCACGTCAAACACAGCCTCATGGACTGCAAAGGCCAATGATGCCAATGCAAAGTGCACATGCAAAGGCAACGCAAAGCTGAAGTGACCAGTCTGACAGTCCTTAGCACCTAGCAACAGAGAAAGTGTGGGAGTGTGAAGCCAACAGAAAGATTAAGACATCATGATGGGAGTAATCCAGAGAAATCACTCAGGAGAGCAGCTTGGAAAGGGAGGAACTTCATGATAACTTTATCAAATTGTTCTGAAGTGCTAAAAAGAGTACCTATCTGCTAGGGCATGAAGCGATTTGTGTTTAAAAGTCGTAATTGTCCACTATCAACATTTTTTGGGGAAAAATATTAATTAGTCTATAAAGGGCAACTAAACAGGTTTCCTTTTTCAGTGTGGGACTTCTAGTCCATCTACCCTCTGCAGCCACTAAAGCATCAAGCAGTAAATAAGACTTGAGGCAAACTACGTGTCTAGGAGTGGTCCAGAAAACTGAACAGGCCCGACCCAAAGTTTCTCATCTGTATCTGCTGAGTGGCTTGTACTGGCTCATTTGCATGTCGGCAGCAGTAAAACAGCTCCAAAGAAATCTGACTGATACCTAGAGCTGATCCCGCCTTACTCTGCCCTTCGCAATCTTAAAAGTAATCCTTCGATCCTTTCACAGACAGATGTGTATTGACGTTGAGCAAAAGGCACAATAAAATTAGCAGAGATGGTAAAAAACAGCTGAAAAAATAATTTTAATCTAAACCGAATTTGATCTAAATTTAGGCTGACCAGACTTATGAATTTATTGAATTCCTAAGAATCTTAGCTCCATAACATTAAAAGAGAAAAATTGTCTCAGTTTTGACTGTAAACATGCTACATAAAACTACATTGGTACACTGACAGTCATTTAAATCTTCAAATACAGACAAATAACAGTACTGAGGAAAGGCTGGGAATCCCTGGTGAGATTAATAGAGAATGCTTGGTTACAGCTAAACAAAAGAAATGCTCTTGTGGACTGAAGTCTCTTATAGAAATATCTTAGGAAACACAGAACTTCCTAAGGTGCATAGGATGTGGAAATGTACATCACTCTCTACCTTGTTTTAATCTATTCAATGAGATAAGTTGTACCTCAATGTCACAAGCCGTCTGTGTATATTGCTATGCATATCCTACGGCATCATGCATACTTCCATACACTGCACATCTCTAAACTCCCAATTAAGCCATTATTAGCACTGTGGTGGCAACAAAACCTTCCTAACATATCATACTGGAAACACATGAGCAGCTGCATGCAAGGTACCTACTTCCTGTGGAAAACAGCAAAATCTAGAAAAGTTTAACTTGTTGGAAGTCCTGGAATAGCATTCAGACATGAACGAGACCTGACAGCCCACTCTGCATCTAGAAGGTAAACAGGAAGTCTCGATGCTTTCAAGCATGATTAAAAACATCACTAGCAACACCCCTATCAATCTGACACTGAATGTTGTT